AAAAAAAAAAAAAAAAAAAAAAAAATAGGTAATGTGTTGGGAAAATCTTTTGTGTAAATAAAGATTAACAAATTGTGGATTCATTAACCAACAATATTTGGTTGAAATATTAATCGTACTAATAATGGTTATTTTATAACTATTTAAAATAACGACGTTTCCGAACTTTTTAGGGCGAAAGTACCAGCAAGGTAACGAGTGGTGACTTGGCGTTACGTTGTCGTGCGAATAAAATACGCATAAATATGGAAACTTTTGATTGTCCAGAAAAGCTTAAATAGCTCAATTTTACATATTTTTTCATATGACAAAAGTGAGTGTTTAGAAAGATCATTTGAAAGTTACAACAATTTACTAATATATATTCTCGACAGCGATTTTCATGATATGTTCCTTTTTCCATGTTTTATGCTATGGTAATAATAAATCAAATACATCATGTAAATATAGAAATAGCCACAAGTTATTGATCTTATTAGTCAGTGACGCACACATTTTGTGTAATAATTGATGAACTGCTTTGTATCTTTTTAATCACTGTCAATTTCTCAAATTTGTTCTGATTTTTTTAAAGAAATGCTTGTAGATATTGATAACACCAAACCATAAACGAGTAGTAAAGTTGACCGTTTATTGGTGAAATGTAATACATTTGTTGTATATGTTACACCTTTGAGATATAACTTTGTCTAACATGCATGTCTTACGGATATTCAAAGTGATTAAGTAGTGATTTAAGTGCTCTTAAACTTGGTGGTTTTACAATAAAATACTTATATATAATTAATACATAGTTGTTTGGCACTAAATAAAGACTCCCCAAATATACCAAATGTCTTAGTTATTTCTTTGACGGTTGCGTTTTTCAGCGGCAACCTGGGGTTGGGCTTCAAACTTGTCTTACGTTTCTAAAATTTCTTTAATGTATTACGATTTTTTAAAAAATTTACTTAGGTTACTACAATAATTTCATTGACTCGGTGGTACCCCTCGGGTTTGGGTTCGTTTCTTGGTTCGGGTACTTGGAAATCATTGAATACTTTTCAAGGGGCTTTACAGAAATTTCCCTTTGGTTACTATAAGAGGAAAGTCTTCCCGAGGAGGGTGGGTGGGAACAGTTAGAGGAGTAGGTAACGCGCTTGCCTTTGAGTCAAAAAGTCCCAAGTTCAAAACCTGGCGCTCCTGGGTCCCAGAAAATTACCTTTTGCAAAAAATATTCAAATAAACAAGGTAAACTAATACAAGAGGCTCTATAGGTAAGACATGTGAACTGGAGAACGAGAGTTAAAGGGGAAAGAAGGTGAAAAATGAAAGGAAATTCAACATACAAATATCTGTACATTATTTTTATTATTTATTGTTTCAACAAATTCCAAGTAATTTCAACAAAGTTTTATACAAAACAAAATACGTGAAGTTACGTTTTTTCTACATTAATAGCAATCATTACAATAGCGTCAAATTTCTAAAAAATTCTATAAATTATGCTTTTACAAAAAAATACAAGAAGTCTAAGCACAAGTAGTAGACTAAGTAACACTTATGAAGGATTTTATGCACTTTGGAAATTGCAGCTCAAACAGCAGATTCTATTTATTTATATAAAAGAGAATTTCGACATAATTCTTACCAAAACAAAATTCATATAATTGACCAGGACTGGTAGATAAATTGAAATCATATCGTACTTGTCAAATTTTGTTCAAAGTTGACGATAATAATTGATTACTCATTCCATTGAGGAGCAAAGTGTCCAATTTCAGTGGTGTGAATGATATCGAAATTCCAAAATGCATATAATCTGACATAGGCGTCTTCCCCTCACGTGCACTCGCACTCACGCACGCTGTTCTATGCCGTCGTGCTGATTCTCGCACAGAAAATGGTAGACAACAATAGTCATTTTTAAGAATCGAGTGTTTTATGTTTTGTTTTCATTTCATTACATCCTTAATATTGGTAGGTTAATGGCACGAATTTGAGCGAAAACTTAAATTTGCACACATGCGAATCAGGAACGGCATAAAGACATGGTCAATTTCCAAGCTTATTCTAGTCATGTCAATTTAAGAAAAATATACAAACAAAACTGAAAAGATTACGCAGAGAGAAAAACGGTGACTTAAAATTCATTAATCCATAAATGCTAACACACTTACTCTGGTCTCCGGTGCTCAGTGATCAAGACACACTTAGCAAAAATACCCCAAGAGGACGCGCGGGACTGGCATCTAATCAGACCTTTTTCTCTCAATCACCCCTCAATCACAACCAAAGAAATATCAATTAATAATAAATATTTTTATGCATATGAACAAAGACGTTTTCCAGGGCCGCACTTACATTTCTGCTTTGCGATATTGGCAAAAAGTCGAACAACACACAAATGAGCTCATGCAATGCTGATTAATTTTGGTGGCCCCAGGAAGGGACAATTTTTATGGTAACATATATTCCCCTACTGCGATAACGAATGCGCAGTAATTTCGTGAAAATCCCTATTTCTCCTCTGGTTTCATTTTCTTAACATTGTTTTAGACCCCTCCCAGCGCAGTACATGTGTATCTGTCACTGATCAGACACAATATCAAAACACCGAAACCAAAGTAAGTTCATTCTTAACATGCGTCACAAACGTATATCCACAATTTAAAAAAGGATCGTTTCTTATACATGGGCAATTCTGCAATCACGTGGACAAATTTTATCTTTTTCATAACGCTATAATTCCCAAAGCATTATAACTTGAAGTACAGTGTTTGTAAGTTAAATTAACAACTTGTTCTTTTCTCAAACTTAACGGTCACTGTATGAAACCGTTTGTCTCTCAAAAGTTTCATGTAATGAAGTTGAGATATTTTTCTTATCGGAATCTTAGAATTCAATTCAATTCAATTTGATTCAAAATAAATATTTAAAATATCTTCAAATGCACAGCTAAGTGCCCACAGACAATTTTTTACCTTCAACTAGAAAATCAATAGGGCTGGCGCAGTACTCTACCTAAAAATCGCATAATAATAATAATAATAATAATAATAATAATAATAATAATAATATTTGATAACTATCATTTTTGTTTTCACTCATCATTTCAGCAAAATACTTTTGCACTAAAATTATTTTGTTAAAGGTGAACTCCAAAAAGTGTCGTATTTAAGTTTGAGAATTGATGGGTACTTACTTCCGACACAATAATAAATATACATAATAAATAAAATACCTTGAAACGATATGAGCGGATAGAGTACTGTACTACGATTTAGAAAGAATGTATCATATATAACCAGCGACATGCAGGGTCGACGCCATTCATTTCTTTTTTTTTTCTCTGATCAGAAGTTTCGTTAAAAATTCTTGCTGCGTACAACAATTATTTTATACAAATTTTATGCAGAATATTACTATCCAAGGCAAAGATTACATTTCATATCAAATGTCAACCCTGCAAATAAACTACAAGACAAACTTCAACAAGCGAGACAATCTTGGCATGGGCTCAGGCGATGTCCAACATGAATCTGATGTCTTTGATCGGCGACGCATCCAATCACCCGGTAAACAGCAGTTGGGAGTCACTGAAATAAACGAAGAAAATCACATTCATGACACAGTTTGATGAAGCAGTATGTGTATATCTTTACAACATGCTATTTGGAACACAAGGGATTATGTTAACCAAACACTATTTTGCCATTCCTATTCTTTTCTACCCTATGGACACTGTTTAATGACAACATACTTCTTTGCATTCATACGTAAGATGCGATATGAAAGGACCAGGCGCCCGGATAACAGAAATATTCTCGGAAATGAAAGTCAGTGAATGAAAACATTTGGCAGATGGGCCCAATTAGTTTAAAATTAACAAGATCTAAAAAAAAACATTATCTAGGCAAGTTTTCACTGACTAAGCCAGGGTTTTCAGGGGGAGGAAACGAATATACATTATCTGGATTTCGTCTAGTTTCGTTTCATGTACATTTTTTTCGCTTTTCATTTGTTCTTGTTCTTGTTTTGATTTGTTAATTAGGAAGGGAGAAGGGATACCTCTTAAATTAAGAGAAGGACACTGTACCCCCGCCCACCCCCACCCACCCCTCACCTCCCCAACCTGGTCCCGTCGTTTCAAGGAATGCAATGACACAATAGTTCAACATCTTGTTACCGAACGTGCATTTGTCTGTTTGAAGTTTACTTTCATATACAATATATGTTTGATTTTTTGAAAACAGGTCAATGACCTCGCCAATAAAAGAACTAGGAGAATGTAGATACCTACCCAGTCGTCTTACTTGTTGAGGACTTGTTCAGACCTTTGGACAGCTGCAATAAGCCCCTCACTTCCTCATTGGCAAGTGCGTTTCTTCTCTGAAATTACAGAAAATAAATCATTCAAACTCTGAGCTGATTTTGAAATTCTAATGAAGAGTGTATTGAACATAAGTGCAATGTTCCCACAGTCATAAGGACTAAAATGTCCCTGTGCGAAACGCATCATTTGGGCAAACGTCGTCTACACAAAATACACAACGTTATATTATATCATCTATACAATACTACGGCAGTTTCCTGTCATTTTCTGTGCTACATTTTTGGCCTACATGTGGAAATTGCAGCAACGTACCAAGAACCTCTGTCTTCTCCATCTTCTACTGACCTTGGTCCTACCTGAACACCTCTCACCGAAATGCTCACCTGTATTACATAATAATGTACAGGTCACCCGCTTTTTGAAGGCAAGTTTCGATTTAAACTTGTTTTTGTTATTTGATATGGCGCAAGGGGTCCTAATCCCGGGATGGTGATTTAGGTATTTCTGCTATCATATTGGCAAAAATAATAACATCTTATCAACCATTTAGTTTGATATCACCTGTACCGATTGTGTTAGAGAAGACAAGATGCGTTTTTTGTTTACCCGATTTGTACAGAACGTTAAAATTAGTGGCAGCGTTCATTAGGACCTAGAGTGAGTACAGCTTAGTTAAAGGGATAATAACTCTTCCTTTTGGCTAAAAAATGAATTTTCCTGGAGTAAACAACAATTTTCCCATACTTACCAATGGTTAATGAATCCATTTTTACATTCAAAGTTAGTCCCTGTTTTTTTTCTAAAAAGTTTGTTTTTTTGTTAAAATCTCTTAAGAGATTATAACAGAGTCTAGCCATCAATGAAGGTCACGTGGTCTGAAGACAAGCTTAGATATCAGAATAATAGCTATAACTGCCATTTTTGTGGTAAAACAGAATATATTGTATTTGTATGAGTTATTCACAATGTTTTTATTGTGAAATATAGATCTCATACGAAGAGTTATTATCCCTTTAACTAGAGCTCTCACAGCTAGGATTTACTTAACAGATGTGTTTTATAAAGTACATAAAAAACTAATACTGACTCAGACTAGGTGTAAATGTTCTCACCTCCCTTGAGAAGATACAGCCCAGCTGTCGTATGAGAGGGTACCACTGAGGAGGGGGGAGGCTGATCACAATTCACACGAAATAAAATCATCAATTCACAAACCACAGTTTATAAAACTTTATTCATATTTCACTGAAAATGTGCGTCAAAAATCACTGAACCACCGGGTATAATGACTTTCTTTCACGAATAACGGAGAGTAAAAAGTGCCATGTACGAGTCACAGGAATGGGGTGCTTCACGCTAAATAAAATGAACGTTTCACGCATCTTGGGAAGTAAATAATGGCTTTCAAGGGTAAGGAAAATACCCAATGGAAGCCTCGTATGAGGCTGTGATAACTAACGTACGAACAATACTGCCAAAATGTTTCAATCACCTTTGCGAAAGAAACTTCAGCTACAACTACCTACTCTTAGAATATTACTTTTGCAAGGTTGAAGATGTTACCCCCCTCCCAAGCATCAAATTTAACTACCAGCCCAGACGCGGGTACCAGCCCAGGGGTAGCGGCGTCTGATCTACCAGTGAATTCAGGATCATTCGGTGCCCAGTCTGGTAGTTGGCTAGGCCTAGTATAGTATATGTTAGATTCACGACATTAACTCTTAAACTAAAATAGGTTTCCAACACTATCCATGAATTATTACTCGAATAACATCTTTATTCCCCCAGTCCAGGCTAACGTTGGCTTCACTAACACAACTGGGTGGTTTTTGCGGAGGCCGTCACAATCATGGTTGAGACAGCGTCATAAACCAGACACCGCAGCCTGTGGCACATTTTTCTTATGAACAAAGATTGTTCACTTAAAATAATCTTCACAGTGGCAGATAGATTAGCTAAAAAAGGGGAATGAAAAAGAGTTAAAGGCCAAAACGAGTAAAGTAGATTTAGCAAAGACGTGTAAAAATAATCACTTTGTTTAAAAGCAGGAGATGCCAGGCCTTATAAACGGATTCTAGGCGTTAACTAACCCTACCCGCAGATCTTTTAGCTCTAACACCCATCTATACCACATAATCCGCGAATTAACCAGCACACCGTATATGTATTTACCACCGCGCTCTTCCATTTGGTTTCAAATACAACAAAACCAGCCTTCAGTGTGTGTGTGTGTGAGTGTGTGTGTGCGTGTATGCTGTAACACACTTTTTATCATAGTCGTAAACTCTCCTGACACATCTACTGACACTCTGCCACCCCCCCCCCCCCCCGGGCCAA